GGATTCAGCAGGACCCTTTATGTGTTATAGAACAGTGTCTCAAAAAAAAAAAAAAAAAAAAAAAAAAAAAAAGAAGAAGCTAAATCTGGCCTTGGATGTGTATCTGTAATAGACATTCTTCTGAATCTGGGAGAAAAAGATATAAGTGGGAGGACACAAGTTTGTTGGGAAAAATAAGCTTTTCTCTGATTTTGGGCTCAAAGAGTTTGTGTGTAACTTTACAGAAGAGGGGCATTTTCTAGGAGCATAATGTCTCCCGCTAAGAGACGGACAGTTGCTAACTTAAGCAGTAACCCTCCAATGCCTAGAATTACTGACTAAGCCAGGGTCCCTCTATAGCTGTGGACAAAATACCTTGACTGGGAGTTTGCACTCAAGACAGCCAAACAGGGTTCCCCAGGCCTCTAGGGAAAATACTCATCCTGAATGTGGCTTACAAGGGCAGCAAGGACATTTCCAGACAGCTCCCAGGGCTCTTCAGGAGGGAAGGTGTGATGGTCAATGTCGAGCTCATGGGGAGACTTGGAAGAAAACTAGTTAGAAGGCTTTACAGACCTGGCTGACCTGGCTCCCAAAGCAGGAACAGACTATGGAGAGATAAGGACACTGAATTTCCTCCCCACTCCCTGCCTTGTGGTCCTCACCTGTGACTGGCAGCCTGTCTCATGTGTCATCGCTCCTCCCGGGGAGCAGATCCACTTCTCAGCCATCTTTGTCTTCTCTCTAAATCAAGTTGCCTCAGGGAACACCCAGTGTGCAGGCAGCTTGGGAGTCTGTCGTCTATTTATTTATATTTCACATTGAAAAGATAAACCAGAGTCAGTTTTTTGCTTATTGTCATTACCAGCAAAGAGGAAGAGGGCATGTGTGTTGGGTGGGTAGCAGACGTGTTTACACACTCAGGTCCTAGGGCTCCTTGCATGCTGTCTCTCTAGCAATCTTTCTATTACCCAGGACAAATGTGGCAGGAAGAGGGTAGACAAAACAGTACAAGTTGAACAGCCCTATCTGGAATCCAAAATGTTCCAAAGTCCAAAGCTTTTTGAGCATTTTAAGTTTGGATTAAGGGTGTTCAAGCAGTACAGTCTATGCAAATATTCCAAAATCCAGAAAACTCCAAAATCTGAAACACTTCTGGTCCCAAGCACTTCAGAAAAGAGGTCTTTACCCTATATCAGCGATGGCGAACTTTTTAGAGCTTTTGGTGATAACGAACAGCCAGCCACAGCACGCGTGCCATAGGTTCACCACCACTGCCTTATATCCTTAGAAGTTTCAAAGCCCATCTGGGGCTTTAAATTCAGGGTTTGATGTGCTGCATTGCACACCTGATTTTCCATAGGTAAGGTGGTTCTATGAGCCTTTGGAAGTAAGTGTTGCACCCCTCAATTTAAGCATGGAAATCACACCAGGTGTTTCTGACCTTGCTCTAACCTTGGTATCTTACTTTACTTAAGTTACTTTTCTTGTTACTGAGACAAAATATCCAGTGCCCAAAGCTAAAGGAAAAAAGGTGTATTTAGCTCACAGTTTGTAGAGATTTCAGTCCATAATTGGCTGGCTCTAAGGCAGGGTGGCACATGGCAGAGGGTCATGGCAGCAGAAGACAGCAAAAGCAACAAGGAAGTTCTGTCCCTTTCACTGTATGCAGGCTACCCACCCTGGGCGGGTGTAGCACTCACACCCTTAATCCCAGCATGGGACCATGAATCAATCACAAACTCTAGATTCAGCCCCCTCCGAAAAGCCCATCCGCATGACGGCATGAGGATTTGGGAGGACATCTAGATACAAACCATAACACTTGGGCTTGCCCTCTCCTGACACAGAACTTCTCACCTGGGAGTTTGCTTTTTTCTCCTGGTAGATGACAGGTTGGGGAAGCCAGAAATGGATGCTCCCCACAAGAAAGAAGGAGCAGTGGGAACAATATACTTGTTGTGAGACGATAGGGTCTCCATCAGGGCTCTGACCAGGATCTCTCCTGGAGGCACCTTCTTGAGTCTGGGCATCCTCAGCCTCATCCACCCTGATGCCTCCTCACTCAGTTCACTTCTTCTCTCCCAGAATGGACCCTTGATGAGTGACATGGACAAGCTGGCCGGGCTGCTGCAGTACCTGTACCAGGAGGTGAGGCTGTGTTCTGTGCCCTGTGAGACCTGGGACCCTGCCAAGAGCTAGTAGTGTGTTCTGGTCAGATCTACCAGAATGGGAAAAATGGACTCCTGAGAGGGAGAGTAAGATATTCAGGGGAGGATAGTGCCAGAGAATACATCTTGTAGGCCTCTGAAATGACGGTGTTGGTCAGGTTAGGGTATGCCACTCACACAAAGGATGTTTCCAGAAGCAGTGTGGCTCTTGGGGACCCCATGGTTCTGCTCTTTCCTGAGGCCATTCTCCAACCAAGCCCGAGGTAATGATGGCCAGAGGGCTGGAGAACCCCAGAGTTCTCTTCCTAGAGCTACCATAGTAACTATGCAGGTTGAGAGCCTGAGGACTGTGCTGTGGCTGCCTCCTGCCCCTGCATTTCCTGGATCTGTTCCCCACTGGCTCTGAGCTAGAAAGTGTCCCGCCCACCATGAGGAAGGTAAGAGGTGATAGCGTAGCTGCAGGGATGGCAGTCATAGACTAACCTCAACTGAATATCTCCCAAGAGACAGTCCCCAAAGTAAGCCCAACTGGGGGGGCCCCTGAGAGCCCTTGGCAGCCATGGAAACTTAACCAGCAATGACCTTCATATTCCTTATGTCCTCTTAGGTCCCCAGAACATTCGTGAACCTGGTGGATCTCTCTGAGGTGGTAGCTATGCCTCGCTGGAGTCAGGGGACTCAGCTCAGGTAAAAATGGAGTGAAATGGGGCTAATGTGCTGTGTGCCTGCCCTGTGCCAGGCCTTGCATGGGCACCCCTCATGATTTGTCCCCCAAGGGGACCCCAGGTGTGGAGGCTGGAGAACTGCAGTAGTACATGTGATTGGCACAGTCTGGGGGTGGAGGACCTATTGTCAAGTACTATTTTGGAGACTCAGTTAAAGGTTTAAATATGGTCAGGTAGGTGGAGCGCCAGAGACCCTCCCTCTCCCAGAACGATCTGAGCATTGAGAAGCCAGTTTTAGGAAAACAACTCTAGGCCAAGAAGCTTTAGTTCTGGAAATCAGGTGGGAAAGAATGTATCCTAAATGTATTTAACTTCTCAGAATTTGACCCCCAATATATTTCTGATAATTTTCATGGCATTTAAATTTTTGGAATCATAGCCTAAAAATCCTGGCTTCGAACCAAGAAAAGGGGTTCATGTAGGAAAAGTCAGAGCAAGGACATCTGGAGAAAGGACAGAGAGATGGGGTCACTGGGAAAGGAGGCTTTGAAGAGGAAGGAGAAAGAAAGGAGTAAAGAGTAGGGGAGGAGGCTGGGGTGCGGGAGGCAGGACTGGAGGGAGAAGATAATCACCTCCTGGCCCATCCTGCCCCAGGGGCCAAGATCTCCACACTGTGCCTCTCAGCTTGCTCCTTTTTGTCCCTAACATTTGCCTCCTCTCTTCTCCTATTTGCCCTAGGGCTCCAGCTCCTCCCTCCCTGCCCCAAGTGACTCCCAGGCCCCACCAGCCCCCCTCCTACCCCCAGAAGCAGCCCCAGGCTCTCATTTCCCTCCTGTTTTGATCCACAACAGGCCCACACCAGAGTCCTGTGGTTGCTCAGGGGAGACCTCAAAGCTGGACACGGTTGTAATGCAGTGGTCCTATCAGGTGAGCCCACTTCCGTGGTCTGGGCTGCAAGCACGATGGATGGTCCTGAGTGAAGGGCTGCTGAGAAGCTCTTGTGAGGCCGGGCCGCTCTGGCTGGCTCGGACTCCTGGATGTGCCCTCTGTTCCCTTCTCAGGAAGCCTGGGACAGCCTCTTGGCCTCCAGCAGCTTCAACGAGCACGAGTCCTTTGCAGTGGTTTTCCAGCCTTTCTTCTATGAAGTGTCATCTGCTGCGGTGAGTGAGCTGCAGGCGATGCCAAGGGTGCGGACTGGGGGAGGCCTGGATCATACATCAGCTCTCACCCGAGGCCCTGCAGAATCCCCAGGCCAGTCTAGCTTTACAGAATCTGGGATACGTCATCTTGGGTTCAATGCCGAAATATGCTCTTACATTTTCTTGTGTAATTTCCCTAAGGGACTTCGTAGCCTCAGGAAACATTTTGTGAGAGGCAGGGAGCCCCAAGGGAAAGGGCAGGGAGGGACTTAGGCTATGAGGCTTGGCCTCTACTCCTGGCTCTGGAATGGGCCAGCTGTGTCACCTGGGGCAAGTGGCTGACCTTGCTGTGCCACAGTGTGAAATCTGTACAATCAGGATTGCTATTGCCTTTTCCTCTCTCCAGGGTGGTTGTCAGGATCACATGAGCTAATCTACAGAAGAACTGGGCACCTCTCAGCTCAGGATGGCATCTCCAAGGCTGCCAACTCTTCTCACATGCTCTTTACACCCATGCTCAAAGGGTGCTGGGCAAGGGGCCACCCAGATCACATGGCCCTGGGCATGGGGCCACACTTGCTCAAGGGGACTCTGCAGCCTGAGCCCTCAGGGTTGTATCCAGGAACCGTTGCTTCCCGCAGCCTCCTGGCTCCTATCTGTAGAGGTCCTTGTGCCACCTCCAGGACACATCTGGTGTTTAAAGCAGAAGAGAGCCGGGTGTGGGGGCACACACCTACAATCCCAGCACCTGGGAACTGGGGCAGGAGGCAGTGCATTCAAGGCCAGCCGGAGTTATATAGTGAGTTCACTGCCAGTCAGAACTGCATAGGCAGACCCTGTCGAAAGAAAGAGAGAGGGATAGGGAGAAGCGGGGAGGCAGTCAGGCAGGCGGAGGAAGAGAAGAGCAGCCTCCCATCCCCCTTCCCCATCCCAGCAGATCACACCCAGATGGCTCCCTGTTCCTTCTGCTGTGAAATCTTGGTTATGGAGAGCCCGTGACACACGTAACAACCAGACACTTACTCTGCCCCTACTGGCCCTGACCTTTGAAACCTGAACCCACAGAGTGCTCCTGTAAATTCCACTGATATTGATTGGAGGGGTGGGGGAGGGCGGGGAAGGCTGAGGGGCAGAAGGGAGGTGGGATGGGTCAGGGCCACCTAGCTCTATGCCAGGGACAGTGCTGGAAGTGTGTGGAGGCCATCACACCCCTGATAACCTCCTCTCTACCTGCTTCTTTTCCAGGGCGGGCCCCCATCCCAGGACCCCACCACACTTGCCCTGAGCCTCTGGAACAACATGGTGAGTGGGTGGGTGAGGGGTGGCCCACAAAGGGAGAGGCAAGGTTGCCACCATCACAACACCCCTAGTGGCGCTGTGCTGAGGCGGGGCGGTAGGGACTGTAGAACACCAGGAAGACTTCTCAGGCCTAGTGGCAGCCCAGCACTCCCTGTAGGAGCTCAACCTCCTGGTTCTGGGGCTGGTCTATTGCTTGCCAGGGACAGGCCTGCTGTCTCCAGAGGCAGAGACATTTCCTTGGAGTCTGTGCAGAACACCTGCTTTGAGTGGCGTTCTTGGGCACAGGCTCCCCTCTCATCCCTACCCAGCTTTCCTGCATGGCTAGGCAGCATCATGCAGACTTAAAAGCTCTGAGTAGTGCTAGAACCAGCATGGGCTTCAGAGTGGTAAAGATATGAGTTCTGATTCAAATCCCACCTCTTATTGCTGTGTGGACTCAAGGTCTCAACTTCTGCAAAAGTTCTGGGGCTTTCTGCAAAGCCCCAGTCATAGCTGGGCTCAATAGCACACACTTGTAATCCCTGCTAGTCAGGAAACTTAGGCAGGAAGATATCAAATTCAAGGCCAGCCGGAGCAATTTAGCAAGACCCTGACTCAAATGGTTTAATGGAGGGATGGATGGATGGATGGATGGATGCAGAGATAGATGATAGATAGATAGATAGATAGATATAGATAGATAGATAGGTAGATAGATAGATAGATAGATAGATAGATAGATAGATAGATAGATAGCACTGGGCGTGCAGTTCAGTGTGAGCCCCTGGGTTCAATCCCCAGTACAGGAAGAACAAACTTGACTGTAACCCCTGGTCCCACACATCCAGTGTGCAGCTCAGTCCTGGCCCATAGTGAGGACTCCACATGTGCTGGCTCTTTGTACAGTGACGATGATAGGTTTTCCAGATCCTGAAGGTGCCCCAGCCATCTCCAGGATTAGCCAGTGCCTGGATGGCAATATCAAGGCTTGGGATCTTTCCAGAGAACTAGACAGGGACCTCCTTTTGCCATTTACTTTTCCCCATCCAAGCTGCCCTATTTTTAGAATCCCAGTGACAAATTTGTTTTTCTTGTCTCTTAGATTAGATCCATTTTATCATCTCAGCTGGTGTGCTATGCTGAGTGCATGAGCAGCCAGTAGAGGACCAAGCAGGCAGGGAGGGGACAGTCCAACAGCCCCAAAGGAGGAAGCACCCTGGCCTTCAAGCAAGGAACTTGACTTTTTTGGTCAGGAATGGTTGTTAGTGGACTTGACCCTAGGGTGAGATATTTACCAGAGAAGCACTTTGTTGCTGATCTACCATGAGGGGCAGAGAAAGGACACGTGCCCTCCAAGCAGGGCTTCCCTCCCACCCTCTTCTCAGGCAGAGACCATTGCTCCAGCTCAGCCAACCTCTGTCCTCCTCCCACATCACCTTTCTCCTCACTAACAACTGGCACCTGCAGGATGCCCTGTGCTGGGAGCCAAGGGAGGTGCAAGAGACACTGAGCGGGGCCTCTGTCCTTACAGAGCTTAGCTCCCTGGGGGTAGCTGGGAAGCTCAGGTGACCAGAGGAACCAGGTAAGCAGACACTCAGCCAGCGAGGTGAGCCAGCTGAGCACTCAAAGCAGTATGGACCTTGAGCTGAGGAGAGGCTGTGGTGGTGGTATTAGAGGTGGCTCAGAGGCTTGGTGAGGTCTGGGACCCTGGGAGTAAGGGTATGGAGAAAAGTGTGTCAGATATGGCAGCGGGGGTCAAAGAAGGCTGGCCCCAACCAATGGGCATGGGGATAATAAGAGCCGGAGAACAAATGAAGCCCTTGAACTCCAACTGAGGAGTGCCTGGAGAGAGATGGGGGCAGGGCTAGGTTCCTTTCTTTTTCTAGTTTCATTTCGCTGTTGATCGTCCTTGCTGTTGGTGGCAGCAGTATTAACAAACACTTTTATTGGGCTGTGGAGAGACATTCCTGTGCATATAAACAGGTGTGCTGTGCACACAGCTGCTTCTAGCCTCCCTGAGGGCCAGGAAGAGCAGGATCACAGAGAAGCAGAGAGGATTTGACCCTCAAGGCCAAGGGCCTGGGGCATAGTAGGTGTCACAAGGTGCCAAGGAGGAAGCCACCACTCTCTCCACACCTATCCAGCAAACCACAGTCCACAGCTTCCCCAGGAGTTCCTAGAGGCTTCTGCAGCCCAGGAAGGGAGAGCAGGAGAGTCACCAAGTGCGTCCTTACCCTAGTTTCCTCTTGGCAAAACACAGGGCTGTCCATGGTGCTGCTAGAACTCGCGATAGCTCCTGCAGGCCAGAACCCATCCACGAGAGATCAGCGACAGGTTAGGGTGAAGGGCACAGGGCAGGGGATCAGAAATCTTGGGTTCTGGGTCCTGTCCTGCTTTTGGTTGTTTCTTGAGGCAAGTGGCTTGGTCTTTCTGGGCCTCTACATTTTCTACCTGCAGAAAGGGTTATAATAACCTCAGCCAGCCTGAGGGCTAGTAAAAAGACTAGTGAGTTTGGGCTCCTTCCCCACCTTGGGTTTAGTAATCATGCTCCCCTGGGGCCTGGGGCAGGCAGGGGTCTTTACTCCTTGATTTTTGCTGTGCTAGGCTTAACTGGGGCCACCACAGCGGGAACCGGGTGCGCCTGTCCTGTGCTCACATTCGCAGACCCAGAGCCAGGTGACAGCACCTCCCAGGTGGCAAGCAGAGAGCAGATCGTGATCAGGGCGCCCAGGCCAACCCCTGGGACTGCACCCAGAACACACCTGTATGGAGAGGGGTTTCTGCAGCACACAGCACCATGTGCAGCTGTAAACAGGCCACATAGACCTCTGCCCTCCTTGGCCCAGCCCATGACAGGCTGAGCCCTGAGAGCAGGGAGGAAAAGCACCTGCAGTAGTGTGAACGGCCCTGTGGACAGCACGCCTAGAACTGTCCCCCGGCATGAGCTCCAGGGATGCAGCTGAGGAGTTCGTGTTTGGGACAGGACTCATTCTGGTGCCTTTCTGCAGCCACCTCAGTAGTTTCTAAAATTCTTGTACAATGGTAGTGTTTAAGAGATCCACTTCTAGGGAACTCAAGTCCCAAATCCCTTCAGCAATCACTGACCCAACCTTGTCCAAGCACTGCACTAAATGCTAGAGCCTTCAGATAGAATAGGGAATGTGGAAATTGCTCACACTTGAGAAAGATCTCTGCTCCTTGGAGGACTTTTTTGCAGCAGCAGCAAGCAGCGGTGGGGACTAAACAGAGCCTCAGTCATGCTACACAAGTGCTCTACCACTGAGCTATGTCCCAAGGCCCCAACAGAGGATTTTTGGTAAAGGTCCTCTCTTATCCTTCCTGTGCTGCTAATTTCATAGTGGGAAGGAAATGCAAGGAGTTTAAGGGCCAGAGAAATGGAGTAAAAGAGTAGTGTCCCTGCAGTAAAAAAAAAAGAAAAAAGAAAAAAAAGTAGCATGTGCAATTCTGTGTGCAGCATGGGGTGGCGAGGGAAAGAGAGATTCTTTGAAGTAACCAGCTCATTTTCCATCCTTACTGAAACAGTTTTAGAGCATGTGTAAGGAGATTAGTGGGGAAACAGAAGGATGTAGGTGACTAAGAGACAAAGTTGGGACAAGATCCTTAATAGAAATGGATTTATTGGGGAAAATCCATACATTTTCTTTTTCTGAGGTCCTTGAAAAATAGGGTCAGTTCTATCCATTCTATCAGAATCCTTTCCATGTGGTTCTCTCAGGGTTTCCCTCCAGATTCTCACTGATTACATTTTTGGAAGACTGGGGAAATGAAGAAGCAAGCAAGGGATGAACACACCCTTTGGGAGCAGCTTTGAATGCCCTGAGCCGCCCTCAGAATAAAACCAAAAGAGGCACTGGAGAGTCCCGTTCCTCCCCAACCCCAAGGCTGTTGGGTTGCCACTCCTTCTCCAAATGTGACCTTAATTACACCTCCTTATCTGCCTCTCCTTCCATTTGGTGAGAACCATTCTCATGTTGGGTAAAGGTCCTCCCTAGCTCCTTGTTGGCCAGGGCACAGCTTCTGGCTAAGGTACTGCTGGGGGAACTGAAATCCTCGTGCCAGCCGCAGAATCTGTGACTGAGCCAGGCGAGTGCCCCAGGCAGTAGCTACCTGCATCCCCTGTCAAGAGTCCTTCAAAAGGGACATGAGGACAAAGGTGCCAGCAGAGCTCAGCACTCTGGGATGCAAAGCTTCTTCCAAACACGAAGCTCTCCAGTAGCAGAAAATAGCACATGCAAAAGAAAATCTGTGGTCCCTCAAAGCCATCGCAACATTTCTTTAATCATTTATGCATATAGAATGAGTATTTTAAATGACAAAAACAAAAAAACAAACAACAAAACAAAAGCCCCCACCTTCATCTAATTCTTCAACTGCCTTCCTTTGTCTTTCTTTGGCACTTTTACCTAAGTTTGTAACCTGCTGGTTTCCCCTGCTGCTGTATACCATGCGCTGTTGTCTATGTTGTTATGACTGTCATTTCAGCAGCTGCTATTTCAAAGTCGGTACCACACCACCCATTCCTGACTCCCTAGATATCCTGGCTGGTTGTGAGCTATGTCCCTTCTCACCATATCTCTGTGCCTCAGTGAGAAACATGGGACTTGTTTGGCCCAGGCCCCAAACTGGCTCCACCCACACCTGTGTAAAGAGAGTAGCAGGGAGCTCAGTTCTCTGTCAGGCCTGGGTTTGTGCGGACACAGGAAGTGGGCAGGATGAGGGAAGGGACGCGGGCTTTACACAAGCCATGGATTGCCCCTTCCTTCCTGTCTTGCTCTCCTGTCCAAGGAAATGTGATCAGTGAGCCAACTAAAAGTTGGGCAGTGAGAAGCAGGACAAGAAGCCAAACTGGGCAACTGGCCCCTAAGGGATCAGGAAGCTGTGTGACCCACTGGGACGCATTTGCTTGGATGCAGGACACCAGTATCGTAGTCTGCCCTGCTAGGTGGGGCCCATATCATCCTCTCTGTGTTCAATTTCTCCTCCTACACTGTCAGGTCTAGGAAGTCCCTTCGGTATCAAAGCCCCACCAATTCCTCCCACACAGTGGTTCTCAAACTCGAGCCTCACAATCAGCAGCAGCTGACTCAGTAGGTCTGGAACAGGGGCTGGAAATTTGCATTTGCTGAGTTTCCCATGATGCTAATACTGCTGGTTCAAGCACCAAACTCTGAGAGATGCTGCTCGAGCATACCTTAGAGGACTGCTACCTGGGCAAGACCTGTCTATGCTAAAGGTCCCCTTCTTTTCTAGATGAAGCCAGTGGGACAGAAAGATGAGCCATTCAGTGCATCACAGAGGAGCCCAATGAAGTGTCCATCTCAGGTAGGAAGGGCTGGGCTGAATGGAGGGGAGAGATCGGTGTCCACATGGACTTTGCTGAGAAGAGGCATCTGTTTTTCTGGGCCTGGGCACACATTTGCATACAGGGCCACCCTAAGGCTGACATCTAAGGGCCAGGGGAACCATCCTAGCAGCACGGAGGCCTCCCACACCTGTGGAAGGCATAGAACTAAAGCCGAGCTCATCTGGTCCCAAGCGATGGTCCCACCCACTTTCTCTGGGCCCCTAGCCCTGGGCCTCAAATGCCATTTCCAACACTTACTTCCTCTACCTCAGAGTGGAGACAGGAAGGAATGATGAGTATCTAAGTGGTCTTGAAGACAGGTCACTTTGGTTATGACTTAAATCTGTGGCAAATACGTAGTAGATATATAATTAATGTCAAATGAATGAGAAAATGGCTAAACATGAATGAATAACTTCTATCACTTAATGCTAACCAAAGTATTTGTCTCGCTAAACAATAAGAAGTATGTAATACACCGTTTCCCTCTTTTCTTTGGCTGCCAAGAAGCTTAAAATTAAGTTCTCTTCCCACTGAGTACTTAGCCTGGTAGCACTCAATCTTCCAGGCAGAAAAAGCCAGATGCCGGCTTGCCTATGGGACACTTCAAAACATCAGTACTTTCCTAAAGGAAATGAATGGGCAGCCCAGGGAAGAGAGGCCAGGAAATGGCTTGGTCATCACTGAGGGGATGATATGAATGTTCCAAATCAGCCAGAGGCACTGTTGGGTGCTCTGATTATTCAGGCATCCAGGTTCCTGGATCATGATTACAACCTTTCTCTGCAGGAGAGCCCCTATCTGTTCACCTACAGGAATAGCAACTACCAGCCCAGATTGCTAAAACCCCAGAGGCAGCCTGAGGTAAGGGAAGGTCTTCTGCGATTGCCAAATACTCAGGTGAACCAGGGGCCACTCCCTGCTGCTGATTCTTTGGAAACTTCCACGTGGGCTCCTGGGACAGCTACAATCATTTGAAATTCAGTCAGGGCCAGCTGGGGGAGGGGAAGAGGGAGGGAGGGAGGGAGTTTGTGGCTGTTTCCTTGGTGCCTGGAAGCAGATCTCCCTATAGTACCACCCAAGAACCATCGGAGCCACCAGCTCCTATAGCATTATGGGGTTTGAGGGTGTGTGTTCCCAATCTATTGTGACTTTCAGACCTTCTCAGATCTCTAACAAGTTCATCAGAATTCATCCGAGTCCCCAACCTGAAGAGATCATTAGGAAAATGCAGAAAAATGTGGTGAACTCTGGAACCAGAGTATAGAAACCAAAAGGCCTTAGAAGTTCTCACGCTTACTCCTATCTTTCTGATGGTTTATCTCAGTGTCACTTTTGATACTTCCTGCTGAGATTAGATAGGGTACTCTACTCCTCTGAGGATCTGACAGACACTTTAAGGTTGATGTCTTTCTTCTCGGGAACTGGAGACCTAGGGGACTGAGTGGGATTTGGTTCTAATCTTTACCTCTGCATTTTATGGAGGACAGTGATATTTATCCAAGTGGTAGAGGCTAAGTTAGTGGCCGGGGTTTCCACCCTGAGAGATGGAGGTGTGAAAGACTCTTGATTTACCAACCTGCCCCAAACTCTCTAATAGCATACCAGTAAGGACACATCCAGGGGGCAGTGGCACAGCGAATAAGGAAACTGGCTCTGGGTTCAAATCCAGACTCTTCCATTTACTGGCTCGGAGTCTCACCGAGGTACTTATCCTCTTCATCCCTTGGTTTTTAACCTGGGAAATAGTGGCACTAATAGTTCTATCAAATGAAGTTGTGCAATGGCAATGAGCTAATAAATTGAATTGTGTCTGGCATGCCATGAGTGCTTTGTAAGTGTTGGTATTATCATCTAATAAGAGGCGGTGAGACATTCCTTTTGGGTATAGTTATTAAGCATCTGCTGTGTCCTTCTAGAATGCAAGCTCAAGGCAAAACTCAGGGTCAGTGCCCAGTAACTATCTGTTGAATGAATAAATGGATGGCTAAGTGGATTCCAGGCAGAGGGAGTAAAAACAAATGAGATATATTTCTTGTCCCAATCAACTCAGTCTGGTAATAGATAAGGCAACCAATAATTATAGCACAATGCAATAAGTACTATAATTAAAGCTTTCATGGGGTACTCTGGGAACACAGAGAGCAGAAGGCTTTCCTGAGGGAGCCCATGACCTCAGCCTTAGAGGGTGACTAAGGCTGAGCCAAGCAGACGGGAGGATAAGAAAATGGAAGGAAAAAAAGAGAGAGAGTAGGGGTGAGGTGGGGACAGAGACATGGAGGCAGTGGAGGGTGTGGGGACTTTGGTCAGAGTCTAAGAGTTTGGAGACCTGTTAGGCCATGTGTGGGAGAATACATGGGTTGAAGTTGGTACAGAAGAGTAATTTATTTGTTTAACCCACAAGTATTTGTTGAGCATGTCCTATGCCAGGTACCATTCTAGGCTCTATAATAATACAGATGATAGTAACAGAGACAAACATGCCTGGCTGCACTGAGGATTTGGGAGGGGACTGCTGTAGCTACATCCTGTTGGGCAAGGCCACTCTGAAATGACCAGAAAGTGGGAGGAGGAGACCCACAGGCTGAGGGTGGTGATGTTGGTGAGGGCCACCATGTTTCAGGCCAGAACGAGCAAAGGTCTGTACTCAGGCTAAGGAAGAGGCCCTGGAGAGGAGGGGACAGACCAGGGAGCAACTGGGCAGGGTGTTGTGAACAGTGGCGTACCAGGACGGAAGGAGTGGGAGAAATTTTTTAAAACATCAAAGCTTTTTTATTTTATCTTCAGTGATATTTTTCCAACCTAGAGAGCCACTTCTCAGCCAGTTCCCAATTGAGTAAGATCCATTTCCTCTTATTTCTTTTCAGGTGAGAGAAGGAACAGAAGTCATTTGTCCTGACAAGGACCCTTCTGACTCAATTCCCACCTCAGGTATGCAATTGCATTCGGTGATTTTTAAACTCATTAGAGGCCTGAAATCATCCAAGTCAGAGCAGCCTTAAGATAGCACGGGATTTCCCCATAATCTGAAACACTCCAGAGGGATTTTTTTTCAAGGACAATAGAAATAGTTCTGCATGTGTATTATGAGGTTGTACTTGTGTATGATTATTCTTAAAGAACATACAAGATCATTATCAGAAAGCATTTGCATATTGATCCTATATTAGGCCATGTTCTGCATGATGCCAGTTGAGTGAATCGATGTCATTGTTTCCATCTTGGAGGCTTGAAGGTTGAATTTGTTCTTCAAAAGAAGCAAAACTGCTTCAAACACAAAGCAAAATAGCCCGTCTATAATCCCCATCCAGGTGATGTGCAGAATGCACAGAAAGCTCCACAGAACAGAAAAATACACCATCCATGCGTTTCACACCCCCTTGGTATTTCTAAAATGTTTCTTTCTGAATGACAGTTGTGGAATTCTAGGTGAGCAAACTTTCCAAAGAAGACTGCCGGCGGGTGGCCCCTTTTCCTGCAGGCAAGGTTGCCTGGGAGTGCTGGCCATAGTCACAGGAGGCTCATACGGTGACCCATGGAACTCAGCATTAGGCCCACAGTGTCAGTGATGCGGGTCCCCTTGCTTGGTCCTGGAGGGTGACTGGATACGTTCATCTGTTAGAGCATTGTTGAGTGCATCCTATGTGCCTTCCAGGAGTTTGTATTCTAGTTGATCTATTACTGCGCAGGGCCTCAAGATTATTTTTTTAAAAATAGAAAATTAAATTTAAAGCTGTCGTACTGCCTACGTGGATGAGAAATCTTTGCAGTCAGATTGCATTCTTGTGCTGTGAGTAGAGCAAACAAATTGCCCCGGTCAGCTTGCCTTTCACACGTCTTACCTTTGCACACTCAAATGATGGGTATTTAAGTTAAAAATTTTCAGGCCGGGGACATAGCTCAGTGGCACAAGCACCTGCCTGGCAAGTGCAAGGTCCTGAATCCAATCCCTGGTACCAAAAAAAAATGTTAAAAATTTTCTCACCAAAGCCTTGATCCATAACTGACGCTGGTTCTAAGCTGCAATAATGGGATACATGATTGCATTTGATCTGTTTTCTATTGCTATCACAGAATACCTAAAACTGGATACCTGTAAAAAAAAAAAAGAGGTCTGTTTGGCTCACAGTTCAGGAGGTGGAATACCCAATGTCAGGTGACATCCCTCTTGAGGGGGTTACATGATGGAGACACAGGAAAGGAATTTGCCTTGTGCAGAAGGGGCCAGGTTTGTGGCTTGGTCTTGGTTTATTATGAACCCCTCTGATGAGATCTAACTCACTTTGAGAGACCAACATTAATCCCTTCCAAGGGCAGTGCCCCTGGTGATCTAATTACCTTGCACCAATCTCGCTCTCTTAAGAGTTCCACCACTTTACTGAGAAGAAAGTCTCAGCACTTGCAGTGTGGGGACAAAGAACATCCAAGCCACGGATGTGATAAAGATCTTACATGCATTTTAGTCTTTAGACTTCTTGCCCCTTGATTCATTCCCATGGGGTAGTTTACCAGCTGGACTTTAACAGCAGAAATAGGATGATCAGATTCCTATGTAGGTCTTCCTGTAGTAAAATCCCTTACTCAAAGGTATAGCTAGAGATATATGTGTACATAGACGCATGTATTGAGATAGAGTATCAATCTGAATGTTTTAATAGCCATACTATTTATAGAGAAATAATATCTATTTCTTTTTAATCTTATCACTCTGAAAAGATGATCATAAAGCATTTTGCAATCTGTCTAGATTATGTTTCTCTCGTGACAACCAGTCCACTAAAATATATCTCAGCATCTAAAAACTAGATAAAAGACGAATCTTGTTTACTCCGTGACCCGATGATTATTGTGTTTATTGGCACTTGAAGATGTAAGAGTGAGAAATCTCAAGGCCTTGGGAGCTGAGATACCCTGGTGATAGGAGCTCTTTGAGTAAACAAGAGTTAAGCCTTCCTGAGGTAACCAAGGTGGCATAGAACTAAAACAGTCATGGTTTCCAGCTGGGGACATACTCATAAATAAATGTTGGGCTAACGCTAAGTCACCTCTGAAAATTTGCCTAGCCAAATGGATAGTAATGAAAAATGCATGTCACTAGGGCTGGGGACTTAGCTTAGTGGCACAGCGCCTGCCCAGCAAGCACAAGGTCGTGAGTTCAATTCCTGGTACTGGAAGAAAAACAAACAAATATATATATATGTCACTAGTGTGCCATTGACCTATAATTAAGGATTTTAACCATACTTGTGACTGGTGGGAGAGGCCAAAAATCTCAGCACAGGGTCATATTATTATTTTCCTTTGATAACTGTCATGAGTTCTTTCCCTCTCCTGGATATCATAGTGCAATTTCCCATCCAAATGAAGGCATTTGATGTGCATAAGAGCTGGTCATTTCATTTTTATACCTTAGCACATAGTAGGAGCCCAATAAATGTTTGGTGAATGGCTGAATTACAATACTAGGTATTTCTAATTTATCAGATCACTTCTAAGAATTGAAACATCTTAAAAATCATCCAATCAAAATGTCTTCTGTTAAAATAATTTTTCACTAAGACTACCTTGTAAAATAACTATTTCACCCTTGGAATTATTTCTAAAAACCTTTGTAGTCCTCTTTTCCCTCAGTCCACAGACACAGGGGTCTAAACATTCCTGAGAGTGGTATTTCTGAATTGGTGGCTACCTGTCATCCCAGACCATCTCTCTGTAGCCCAGGAGCCTCGTTCTTATCACATGTCTGAGCGCATGGGTGATGAGCCTGGTCCACTGTTCCATAGACCTCGGGGATGGCATAGAGAGAGCTCACATAAACAATTCATTTCATAGCCAGTTGGCTTTTGGTGGCTAATAAAACACAAAACTGCAGTTCACACATGCAGTTAGCTGGGTGCCAGCTCTTGTGAGCTTCACAACTTTGTAAACACTTGCATCAGTATTTTATGTTACTAGCTTGTGTCTCTATCTCAGAGTCTGGATAATTAAGGAAAAAAACCATATACTGAGCTGAGTAGCTGACTTAAGGTTTCCCGGAGAAAAGGGATAGCTTTGTCAAAGGAGTGGCGATGAGGAGTGAGGGGAATGGGGTGTGCTGGCCCTTGACTGAAGCTGGCTGTCTTGAAATGAAGCCACTCATTTCACACAGAGGGAAAAACTCACAGATTTTGAAAATGGATCCACAAAGCTAATTATATGCTACTGTCACCAATAGTATAAACCAGAATGGTTTGTTCATTTATTGTGAGCCATTGCTTCCTATCTAAGCTTCCAATATCATTTATTTGACCCATTTAGCTAAATTGTACTCTTTAAAAAGCTAATATAAAAATATCCATGTTAAACCAGGCACCATGTCATATAGTACCTGTAACCCCAGCACTCTGGAAGGCCAAGGTAGGCAACACAGTCTGGGAAACTTAGCAATTTAATGAGAATCTGTCACAAAAAAAGGTTAGGGATGTAGCTCTGTGTGAAGCCTGGGTTCAATCCCCACTACTATAATAAATAAGCCCATGTTAATTACTAGGTGGTTATTCTAGCAATTTTGCCCCATTGTAAGCCAGCAATACAATGTTCAGTGTAGATCCTGAAGCTGTTCTGTGATCATCACTTGTTCCTGGGTCTTGCAATTTGACCTAACCTGCCATCAGGAAGGAATGATGCCCCATAGGAAATAATAGCCTGCTTGTCCCTGAATGTAACCCTCTCATCGAGCAAGTTCAAATTCATCCCCAAGATATTTATTTGTCTGTATCCCTGCCCTACAGTTTCCATCAGTTAAAGCTCTGAGAGCTGTAAAATCTTACCACCAACCACATAGCCTTTAATCCAAATTAACACTTTCTATTAATGTATATTTTAACTGGCATGTAGTTGTACATATGTTGGGTGTACAGTGTGGCATTTCAGTATACCTATACAAATGGTAATGGTCAGATGAGAGTAATTGGCATATCCATCATTTTAGACCTATATCACTTTTTGTGACATTTTTTGAACTCCTACTATGTATAGAGTGCATATTTATCTATATAAATGCGTACCAAAGATTTCAAAGGCAGAAAAAAGGTTCCAGTCTTATGCCAGCAAGTTGCCATCGTTGTGGAAGTGTTTTCGTAAGTCCTTAAGATCAGAAAGCAAACGGGTTGGGCATCCCCAGCTGGTAACTGAGTTGGCTTTTCCCATTGCAGCCCCAGGTGGTTTAAATTGTTGGGTTACACAAGACATAGTATGAGCATGCCAAACATTTCTCCTGGGATTAGCTTTTAGAATATGGGGAGCATTTCCCCATTCCATACTCAACTGCACAGATTTCCTTGCTGTTGAAGATGCTTCATCAGAGCTCGCTCAGATGGCCTTTCGATAAGAGGCTCCTGCCATAGGAATCTTGTCAGTTAATGATATGTTTATCAGCTTCTTTCAAGGTAGTGGACAGTGTGTACCAGATAATGTTTAGCTAATCAAGCCCCACATGTTTAATCTTATCTCTAAATAGTTCTTTTGCTTCAGAGAGCAATTGCTGAACTTCTTTGCTGGGTGAAGTGTGACAGAAAAATACAATGAATGCACTCCATGAATCTCCCTCAAATTATTCCCCCTACGTTGAACACATACGGGCTATCTTCTTGCCACTTTCTGAAGTGGTTCTAAAAGTCCTCTCTTGAGAGTATCTTTAATTTTGTTGTTACAGCAATGAATCAATTCAAAACATTCACTTTTGCAGTCATTTTGACTTTGAGGAAGAACCAAAAGTTACATGGTGCCAGATCCAGTGAATCTGGTGGACAAGGACACACTGTATGTTTCTTATGAACCAGTCTTTCTTTTGGATGGCACTCAGCAGCAGCGTTCACTGTATTTCACATCACCCCTCATAAAGACACTCATGAAAAGGACTTCCAGAGGTGCTTCAGAAAGTGGGATAAGCATGTTTGAAGGGAGGGAAAGTGTTTTGAGGGAGATTAATGGTAATGTGTCTTTTACTGTAACAAATTTTTTTCTATTTAAACACACACATATACTTTTTGATCACCCTTCATATTTCTTAAGCTTTATCTTTGTCATCTATGATAACAGTAACAAATCTCAAACCAAGATCCACAGAATATTAGACCAGTGTATTTGAGCTCTAACTTAGTAGTGAAATCTAGATAAAGTCAACCCTTCCCACCTTCACTTGTTTCATTCAGTTATTATCTTTTGCTGAGAATCCATCTGAACATCAAACTGGAAAATTTCTCTTCCAGAAACTATCTAATTTACACATATACTCACTGTTATGGTTTAGATCTAAAGTGTCCCCCCAAATTCACTCTGTGTGTGTGTGTGTGTGTGTGTGTGTGTGTGTGTGTATAGGTAGAGTGATTGGGTCATGGGAGTGGATTCATTCATTGATGAGTTGAGTAGTGAAATGTGCTATTAGGAGGTGGGGACCTGGTTGAAGGTGCGTCCCTGCCTCTGTCTGGCTCTCTCTGTCTCTGTCTCTATCTCTCTGTCTGTCTGTCTCTCTCTCTCTCTCTATCTCTCTCTTTCTCCCCCTCTCCCTCTTCCTCTCCTTCTCTCTCTCTGCTTCCTGGTCTCCATGGATTGAACATCTTTTCCTCTACCATGCTCCTTTGCCATCCTATTTTTTGCCTTGGAGCCAGGCAGCCATGGGCTGAAAACTTGAGCCAAAATAAACTTCTCCTCCTGTAAGTTATGGGTATTGGATGCTGTGTCCCAGGGATGGGAGAGTGATGAAGGCATACACAGAGAAACAGACATCAATTGATTTGTGTGTGTGCATGTACATTTGTGTTTCTGGCCTTTCCACTACAAATTTAGGAGACAGAAATGGTCAGTTTCAGCTACTTTTTTTTTTTTTTTTTTTTTTTAGAAAACTGTAATAAGAAAGCTTTTGAAGTAAACCTGCTGTCTCTTCCACATTTTACCAGCCCCAAAGATTTCCCCTAACCTTTGCATACCAGCTAGTGTTCAGAGAATTCACTCTATTATGGCAGTAAGAATGTAGTAATTGGCTATCATCACTGGGAACTAAAATAAACCCCTCTGGAGTGCAGGGGAGGGCTGTCATTTTCCACTTTTGTTTCCTTTTTTACCCATAGCCTGATTTCTTTCAGAAGGGGTCATTTTAACGTCCTCATGCTTAGCCCTGTAAACGTGTGCTAATGTGTGCAGCTGGCTTTGTGATTTGATATTGTTCTTCAAACCACATAGTGTAGCTGTGGAAGGCTGGGAAGGACCATCAGGCTATAATCACGTAGAACGGTGTGTGTGTGTGTATGTGTGTGTGTGCGTGCGTATGCATGTACACAAGGTGTGGTGGGAAGGACTCAGAGGACAGACACCCTGTAAAACCTTTTGGCTCCAGAATCTGAAGAGGCAAAGCTACAAACACACCATCAGACTTTTCAATGGCAGGTCCACTTGTATGAACTCAAAGACAATCTGTACATATACACAGGGTAAGTAGCTCTAGGTTTCTTATCTACACGTGCAGAGACAGAATTCTAAAGACACAACTTTAGAATAAAAAGGTATCCCTAGGGGCTGGGGATTTAGCTCAGCAGCACAGTGCTTGCCTGGCCAACACAATGTTGTGAGTTCGATTCCCGGTACCGGAAACAAAAACAAACAAACAAAAAAACCAAAAAAAAGGTATCCCTATTAGTAATTCTCAAAATGTGGTACCCAGACTGGACTGCAGCATCAGCAGGAAGTAGGAATTTATTAGACACACAAATTCTTGGACCCACCTTAGACCTACTGAATCAGAAGCTCTCAGGATAGGGCCAGCCATCTGTGTTTAAAGAAGCTCTCCAGCAGATAAATGGATGATCAAGTTTGAGGCTTGCTATCTATATATCTTGCATACATATATTCATAACTAAGTATGTGTCATTTGCATCCTCTTGTAGGAAGTGGTAGGGACTTTTTCAATGGAGCTAATGGTCAGTGGAGGGGGGGCAGGTCCCTCTCTGCAGATATCATGGAAAGAGGTGGGCAAGAGGTCTCCAAAAACCTAGAGATCCCTCTGAGTACCCTTTCCGACAAGTGTCATATGGTTTCCTGTGCAAGTGTAAGTACTAGTCAACTGTGACTTGGATGTTGCTGAATGCTGTGGGTTGTTTGGAGCCCACCTGTGTTGAAAGTATCTTCCGTGATTCACTGCAGATGCTATAGGTTGTCTTGGCAAAGAAAGCCATCAAGAAGGCCTCCTGAAGACAGATTTCACTTTGTCTATCTTAAGCAATGGCCCACTGTAAGGATGGGCTTCTTCCTCCCAGGTGGCCACTTTCTGGAGAAAACACTGCACTAAGCTTCTTCCAAGGCAGGAAAGCTATTGTAACAATTTAATGCACAACAGTATACCACTAAGGACACCACAAGGCACAGGTGGGAACCACGGCAAAGTCAGGGTGGCCTGAGGGACGGGAGGTAAGCTTATGGTTTGAGGGACTGAACTATACATGAATGTAGCATTGCAGGTGTGGTGCTCAAAATGCACTTGGATTCATGTTGACATATGTGTAAGGGAAAAGGGAGCAATACAGGACTAGTATGTGCATGCAATTACATATACAGCAGTTGTCATGCTAATTTCCAAACTTCTTAGCCAGTCATGCAGTGATTTTTTGCTGTTGCTGACATTGTTAGCCTCCTTTACGCATCCTCCCCTTAAGCCAGACTGCACAACTAGCTATGCTTTATAGACATAGTGTGCTTTACTACACTGCATCTGTCCTGCTCTCTGTCCATCACCTGCCTTCCCCTCCCCTCTCTTCGCCTCACCATTTCCTGGGACCTAATTCAAATGCCACCTTCTCCATGAGGTCTGTTCTGACACTTCCTCTGTCACACCCCATGGGGGACTCATCCTTCCAGCTCTAGATGGTCTATCATTTTGTGCCTCTAGCAGTACTTGTCTGGCTATGAATTACTACAGCTAGGGATACCTTGCCTTATATGGTCTCTTTAGCCAGTGGGTTTCCAAAAGGCTTGTCCATTTCTGATCATGGTCTCTTAAGGACCCAGCCACTGCCAGGTGTTCAATGTATTTGCTGCGTGGATAACTAGTTGCTTAGCCATGTCATGGTATACGTTTAAGTTCAAGAGGTTAAAAAAAAATTAGAGCCAAGATGTAGAAAACAATTTGGTGGTTTCTCAAAAAGTTAAACATAGGATTATCATATGATTTGCCAATTCTACTCTTGGGCACATATCCCAAATACGTGAAAGTAAGGGTTCAAATACATAGTTGTATACAGATGTTCATGGCAGCACTATTTATAATCACCATAAGTTGGAAACTACTCAAATGCCCACCAGTGGATAAAAATATGATAGATCCATTCAGACAGTGTCATACTATTCAACTAAATGAAGGAAATATTGGTGTATGCTCTAGCATAGATGAACTTTGAAAGCATTATGCAAAGTGGAAGAAGCGAGACAGAAAGGGGCACATATTACATGATCTACTTATATAAAATACACAGAATGAGTAAATCCATAGAGACAGGAGGTAGATTACTAGTTGCTAAGATCTGGGGCAGATGGGCTGTGAAGTGATTGCTTAATGGGCATTGGGTTTCTTTTGGGGGCAGTGAATATGTTTAGGACCAGACAGTGTTGATAGGTGTACAACACTATGATTTCACTAAGTGCCACTGAATTATTTATCTTAAATTATTAATTTTATGTTTTATGGCTTTTTCCTTAGTTAAACATTTCATTGGCTATAAAAGTATTTCCCTTTTCACTTTGGAGAAAACTGAGCTGATCTTTTATAGGTGATGCAATATTTTATCCCAAACATCACCAGATCCTAGAATAGATTAAGTATCAGTTGCATCACTACAATTCCTTCCTTACTTCCAAGTTGCCTTGCAAGAACTATTTCTTGCCTGTGACATCTAGCATCACCCATAGATGGTAAGACTGACAGATGAGCTCCCTGGCTGCTACTATGGAGTTGTATCAACAGGATGGGCTGTTCATATCTTTTGTCCAGGGTGTACTGCTATTGAAACTGACGCTCCACTTCCCTGGCCAATGTTCACTGGTTTTGGGGGAGACAGATCCAGTGCTGCCCTGGAACCCCATTTTCCATTCACTCCATCTTGTGTTCTCAGTTCACAGGCTGAAGCCAGCTGACATCAAGGTTATTGGTGCCATGGGTGACTCTCTCACGGTAAGTGGCTCTGATTACAGAAGGCAGAAGCAGGAGAGGAGATTTTGATGAAATGACAGCGTGGAGGGGAAAATGAAACAGGCCTTGCTACTCACTCTGTAACGCTGCCATGTCAGGTCTTCATCTCCAGGTCCCTCCATTCTCCCGGACCACCCCCGCATCCAGCACTCCTTTCCTCCATGCTCCCAGTTTGTTCCTCTCCCAATGCCAGAACTGTAGGGGCCCCCAGGGGAGCATGGTTGACAGAAGTGATCCACCCTGAATCATCCAGCCCATCCGTGGTGGGACTTTGTTAGCTAGGTCTCATGGCCGAGGTATAGGATGTCTTCAAAGACGTGGTGCTGTAGTTTGTCCACACAGAAAAGCTAAGAAAGGTACCAGTGAGGGACAGACGAGATGGTGGGACAGAAATGATGCTGCACTGTGGGTGAGGAAGCAGGAGTCAGTGGAGGAGGTGGGGGCCCCTAAAGTGACCAAGCCTCACCTTTGTAAGTGCATCATGCCGACACACCAGGCTTCACAAACAGCAATCACGGAATGAGGTCCTGAGCCTGCATGGTGGGGCAGAGGTTTCCAGACACAAACTCCCACCCACTAGTCCCTCATTATAGAGTCAAGCTGCTGCCCTGGGTCAACTGAACACAGGTCTCCAGCTGGGCCCTCCCCAAGGACTAGCTGATACCTTTCATGTCTGCAGCCTATTTACAGTGACATTTGCTCATTCAATCTCTTCATGACAAAACCTGGTGAAGTCTCGCTTTCCTTACCTTCCAATAAGGAAGCTTCTCCCTCCCCAGCTTGGAAGTGCTCCAACCAGCAGAACTCAGAGATCCTGACCCTAAGGGTGGATCATATCCCTGTACTATAGAGGCCTCCTCCATGACCTTCAGCAGCCCCTCACCTTCCAGGAAGGACTGGCCAGCTGGTCCCTGGCACATGCAGCTCATCCTACCCTATCCCTATCCCCTCAATCCCCTGGTCTCCTGGAAGATGCTGTCAGGACAAGGAGGCATCGAGAACCACACAGCTGCTCAGGACTTCTGAGGGAGCAGCACCTTTGAGTGTGATATACCTGGCAGCTGGCAAAAATTGGACACCACAGAGTGGGGGGGGGGATCCACAGCTGGTTAGTGGTGGGGCAGTCATCAGCAGACCCTTTGAAATAGCTCTGTGTAGAATAGCATGCTTCAGGCAAGGGACATATGCCTGTAAAGTGTGACTCAACCTAAAATCCAAGCACTCAAGAGGCTGAGGCAGAAAAATTGTCAAGTTTGAGCCTAGCCTGGACTATGTAGTGAGACCCTGTCTCAAAAACAAAACAAAAACCTTATGCTCACTTCAGCTGAGCACTAAATGCACAGGATTTCATGTTATTCCTATTTTTAAACTGTACCTATGTAACAGAAAATAAGATGTTTCCTTTTATAATATATGTCATAACTTTTAAAATGGGAAACACAGGACTGTGAAATAAGCCCTTTCGCAATCTCATTTATGGCGCCCCTTGCTTGCTGGTTTCTCTTGGTCCTGGTCCAGGCAGGTTCTTTAGCATGAGGCAGTGCTGTGCGCAGCACCAGCCCTTTCAGTGGGAGTTGTCTAGCCAGGACAAGCACATGGATCTCCCGGCAGATGAGGGGCTGGGGAGATACCAGGGAAACCCACTCTTGTTGTTCCTTCTCAGGCAGGCAATGGCGCTGGGTCCAGGCCTGGAAACATCTTGGACGTCCTGACTCAGTACCGAGGCCTTTCCTGGAGGTGAGATCCCCTGAGCCTTCTAGACAGTAATGCCTCAAGCAGGGGTGGACCAGTAGTTCTTTTCCATGGTCAGCTTCCAGGTTCAGTTTGAGAAAGGTGCTTATCAGCCTCCCCAAACCACTGCATTCTCCGAAACGGGAGGTTGAGATCTGAACAGGAGGAGTTTGGGGGAGAAACTACATGACTGTTCAGGTTGGAAGTGCTTCTCTGCCTTCCATTTCTCCCTCTGTGACACAGTCTCCAAAGGAGGCCATGACCTAATGGTGAACATGTCTTGGCCTTTGGAACCAGAGTTGTATCTGAATCCCAGCTGCCCAGTTATGTGTGACCCTGGGCAAGTTAGTTCTCTTGCCTCCTCCCCTTGGACACAGAGAAAATAATACTACCTGAGAACTGATGGGGATGAGAGAGAGTTTAAGTGCCTACCCCAGTGCCTGACACAAAGCAGATCTAAATGGTAGCTGGCATCATGATTAAATGGCATTCATTTCATAAAGGAAGAAATAAGACTTGAGAGGGCAAATAACCTGTCCAAGGTCACACAGCTGGATATTCAAAGGACAAGAAGCGGAGCAGATGGTTCTTGGCCCTATCATGTATTGCTTCATGCAGGACAGTTCCTGTTCTGTTTATGATCCAACAGCTGCTACCAGCTGTGGAGGTCAGGACTCAGGAGTGTGTTGAAAGGCTGACTTGGCACCTTTGGCCTTTCCTGACCTGGTGTGGGGCATGTCCATCTCAGGGAACTTTAGCCTGAGTGAGAGTAGACTCCTGGCATCTACTTGCAGGTCCCTGCACAGAGTTAAACCCTAAACATTTTGGGACACTGTTATATCAATGGTGGCAGACCTATGGCACGCGTGCCACAGCTGGCTGTTTGTTATCATTGAAAGCTCTAACAGGTTCGCCATCCCTGTTTTAGGCGTTCCTAGTCAACCTGGCATAGAGCAAAGAGACGTAGAAAAGCAGACGCCAGTCAGCCTTGGACTGCTGAGTATTTTCATTACTAGAAACCCATCTCCCTTTGATTTCTCTGGAATTTTAGCATTGGCTGGGGAACAGCTAACCCTCTAGAAGATGCCTTGTTAAAAATCGCTTTTCCTAACCAAACAAAAAGAGAAAGAGCAGGCCAAAAAATAAATAAATAAAATTTTTTTTAAAGCTTTTTCCACTACTAGTAATAATGTACAGCTGTGGTGCTTAATTGAGGTGGGGGCTGCCCAAAGGGCCACTCTGATTTTGGAAGGCAGAGTGCAAGGGACTGGGTTCCCCCTGCCCCAACGTCACAGCTTAAAGGAAAAGAAAACCGAAACGGAAAGGAAAGCAGCCATGACAGTTTAACCCCGTTTTGTTGTTTTTGTTGTTAGGAGGTTCCCGCGCGCAGGTAGAGAGGAAAGGGGCGGTCGTATTTTGGTGTGCTTTTCAGTTTTTATGCCGAAATGATCAGAAAAGGGCAAGCCCCGGGCTGTCGGTAGAAAGATTTGTCTCCATGTCCGAGGTGCCTAGCCACCGCCGACGTTCTAAACCTTCGTTTTCTTTCTTGCTTTCCGCAAACAGCGCCGGCGGCGATCACAACATCAGCTCCGTGACCACTCTGGCCAGTGAGTATGCGCAGGGGCTGGCTGCAGGGGACAGCTGCGTGCAGTAGGAGGCGCTGCTTCCCCGAGGCTGCCTCCCGGGCTCTGCTCTCTGAGCCGAATTAAAGCCTTAGATTTGGAGTGGTGGGGGTGGGGGTGGGGTGGTTAAGGGGCGGGGGGTGTATTGTTGTTTTTAAGAGAAATTGCCCTTGTCCAACGAAGGAAGAAAGAGGGAAAGAGCGCAGACAAAATCTTAGTGCAAGTCACTAAAAAGACGATTCATGACACCACCCCCCCACGCCTCCCAAAAGGGTTTCTGCCTGTCATTCTGCGCAGCGCACACACAGCGGAGGGGCTGTACGCAGAAGCAATGAGCTGCTTCGGCGTCACAGTTGCAAGACGTGAAGTTACCTTGTGCAGGTTTTTCGAACGTAGCCGTGGCTGGGGCTCCACGTCATTTTCCTTAATCACACCAGCGACAGCCTCTTGGGATCTTGAAAAACCTGTCTATATTCTCTGGAGGGTCTGGTCTTATTAAACTTCCCCCCCCCCCCATTACTGGGGAAAAACCCTAAGCACACTGAGCTGCATCTCTCACTCTTTGTATTTTATTTTATTGAGACAGGGCCTTGCTACATTGCTCAGGCTGGCCTTCCTCGTGAGGCCTCTCAGGTGGGATTTCAGGTGTGCCTGCGGTCCCCTTGGCTTCACCTTTTTATCCCCTTCAGTACACGTGCATCACAGTGCTTCTTCTTAACACACAACTGCACTAGAGGCTAACATTGAATTCTTTCCCCCTTAAAATCTTCTGACCAATAATTTTGCCTGAGAGGCATTTAACTGGTCTCATTCTCATTAACTTTTCTGGTATCTACCTTTCCTTTTGCCATATATCTTTAGGTGCTAAGAAATTATTTGAATTTTAAGTCACAAAGACTTAGATGATAGGGAAGCTTAATCTCCACACGAGCAGAGCTGATTCATCTTCACATTTGCTATCTGTTTTGGTTATCTGCAAATTGTGTGGTACTTAAACCGGTACAGTTCTATGCCACAAGTACTCCCTGTCCTTTTTATTTCTAGTTCTACACACAAGAGCTATAAATAAGCTCCTCTATTGCTGAGAAATAGCTTGGGATGCTTTTATGTGTGTGACGAATTTGGCTTAGAGATGGCCTAGCATGTGGGCTTTCTCATGCCCAGGCCATTACTGTAGACAAGATATTTGGAAATCATCTGGCTCAAGATCTCCCACCATAGTGATTTATAAACCGTTAAGACAGTGCCACCCCTCCGGTGGAGTCCCCTGACACACTTAGCCCTAGAGAATGGTGCTATTCAGACTCTTTGCTAGACTCATTTGATTCTATGGGCCAAATAACCCAGGGGAAGATAACTACATGAAAATGTGTTTGAAATTTATGAAGATGTAAAGGCCAGAATAAAATCTTTGCCCCACAACCTGTTCAATTTAATCCAGGGCTGGCTGCTTGGAAAATAAAACAGTGCTCTGATGGCATCACTTAAATCTCTTTGGGGCATGGCTCACTAAACATAGACACAAGAAGAGATAATTATAGCCACGTATAAAGCTTAGGGAAAATAAATAAGAGGACTGTGAACACTGTCTTCTGAAAAGGAGCTTCAAGAACTGGATGCCATCAGGTAAGGGAAGGGGATGGAATGTTCTTGGCAGAAATCACTGAATGTATCTGCAAGTTATTGCCTGATCCAGTGTAGAATTCATTTCTGTGACTTTCCTGCCAAACAGCTGGATAGCCTGTGCTCAATCCCTGCAGTAATGGGGAATCTACCGTTCCATTTTCAGTTAGCTCTGACTCCGTAGTTCTTTTATCTTTTGAATAAATATCAGACAGTTTTAATCCATTCGTGCAGTGTCCTCAAAGACACAGAAATAAGTCCAGCCCACCTGTATCAAGCAGACCCTACAGTAGTTCTTGGCTCTATAAAGCACCCAGCTTGATGGGGTGAGGTCTTAAAGTCCTGGCTGCTGACTTCATGCCAGTCCCTTGCCCACCCTCGTAGATTATGGGATGCAAGAAAGTGCCCTGTGTTGGAGCCAGGACATCAGAGTTCTAACCGAGGGTTCCATTCTCAGTGACTATATGATATTGAGCAGTTTTTCTATCCTGTCTAAACTTCACTTAATACCTAGTATTCTAATTATTCCTAATTCAGCTTATAAATATTTATTGAGAGTGTGTGAGGCCCTTGAGTTTATACAGATCCTGCTCTGAGGAGTTCTTAACCAAGTTGCAGAGATGGAGAAATGAAAAGTCAGATGTACATCCAGTGTAGGAAAGGCCAATAAATGAAATAACTTAGATGAGATGGGCAAATGGATCCTAAAAAAGTGTGAACTACTGAAATGAAATCAGTAAGAAATAGCTGGGAATGATGGCACATTCCTGCAATCCCAGCTACTTGGGAGGTTGAGGCAGGAGGATCCCAAATTCAAGTCTAGTGTGAAACTTAGCAAGATCCTGTGTCAAAATTTAAGAATAAAAAGGGCTGGAGAGGTAGCTCAATGCTGCCCTGGGTTCAATCCCCCATAACATGGGGAGGGGATTTAGAATAGGTATATACAATGACAAAGAGATTAAATTAGTAATTTTAGAACTTTCCAGCCGCCCCCAGCCAAAGTTTTCTAGTTTCACTGGTGAACTCTACCAAACATTAGTAACAGTTACCAGTTCTGGACAAATTCTTTCCCAATATAGGAGGGAATATTTTCCAACTTATTCTAGTGAGTTGTACTCTGATACCGAAAAATCCCCTACAGATTAATCTCTTATGGATATAGACACAGAAATCCTCAAAAAATACTATCAAACTAAATCCAGCGATATATAAAAATATTGTATCCCATGACAAGTCCTAAGTGGAACTTAGGCCAGGAATACACAGTTTCAAAATATGAAAGTGAACTAATGTTATACACTATATTCATAGAATAAAGGACAAAAACCACACGATCATTTCAATGGACCAGAAAAGTCAGTTAATAAAATGTAATACTGCTTCAGGATGAAAGCATGCAACAAAGTAGGAATAGAAAAAAAAAAGTCCTCAATCTGGTAAAAGGCATTAGCTAAAAGCCCGCAGCTAACAGATTTCCTGTGGAAGGTGGCTGGCTGCCCCTTCCTCTGAGCCTGGGAAAAAGACAAAGATGTCTGCTCTTCTCACAGCTATTCAGCAGGATTCTGGAGGGTCTAGTAATGGCAGTTAGGCAAGAAAATTGAAAGAAAAGGCAATAAAGGAATAAAGCTACCTCTACCTGAAGATGACATCATTAAAATATATATATATATATATATATTCTTAAGGAATCTAACAATTATTAGACCTAATAAGTGCATTCAAGAAACTTACAGGATTCATAATCAATATACAAAAATCAGTTGTATTAACAATTAATGACCTGAAAATGAACTTAAGAAAACAATTCTATTTATAATAGCATCAAAATAATAAAAATGCTTAGGAATAAATTTAACAAAAGAAATACATCACTTAAATTCTTAAGTTCCCAAAATATTGCTGATAGAAATTAAAGACCTATGCTGGACATGGTGGCCTATGCCTGTAATCCCAGCACTTGGGAGACTAAGGCAGGAGGGTCGCCGTGAGTTCAAGCCTGGGCTACGTAGCAAGGCCCTGTCTCAAAAAACTAAAAGAAAAAAGAAAAAAAGACCCAGAAATAGAAAGACTTCCCATGAAGATTTAACTTTTATAAGATTATGGTATTTCCCAAATTAGTATACACCTTCATTATATCTAGTTTCTCAGAAGAAATTGATAAACTAATCCTAAAACTTAGGAGAAAGTTCTAGAGATGCAGAATAGCCAAAGCAATCTTAAGAAAAACAAATTCAGAAGATCTGTACTCATGCTTCCCAATTTTAAAACTTACTGTAAGGCTACATTAATCAAGATAATGTATTCCTGGCATAAGGATAGACATATAGGTCAATCAAATAGAACTGAGAGTCAGACATGACCCTTTATAGTTATGGTTGACTCACTTTCAACAAGAAGGCCCAAACCATCCAATGGAGGAAATAGTCACCTTTTGAATAAATAAATGGTGCTGGGACAACTAGACAGTCACATGCAAAAACATAAAGTTGTATTCCTGCCTCACCCCACAGGCAAAAATTAATTGAAAATGGATTAGAAAAAAAAAAAAGAAAATGGATTAGAGACCTAAGTGTAAGAGCTAATACTAACTCTTAGAAGAAAACACAGGAGCAAATCTTCATGACCTTGGTTACACAAAGTCTTCTGAGATATGCTACCAAAACCACAAAAGAGGAAAGAATATATGTGGTGCTTTAAAAGATATCACCAGGAAAGTAATGGCAGCCCAATGAGTGAGAGAAAATATAGTCAATCATACATCTAATAAGAAAGCTGTATTGGGACTGGGGATATAGCTCAGTGGCATAAGCACCTGCCTGGCAGGTACAAGGTCATGAGTTCGATCCCTGGTACCGCAAAAAAAAAAAAAAACCAAAAAAACCAAAAATGTGCATTGTATTTGCATTGATGATGTTTGTCTGTTTATGTCCAGTAGTTTTCTTTTATAAAATTTGGTGTTATAACTTCCTTCTGAATTGCTGATTTACATGCAAGTAGTGACCGTCTTTGTTTCTTCTGATCAGTTTTATCTTGA